GATTCAGAAGAAGTGCGATTGGCCTGCAGTCTATGAGTACAGGTGGAACTAAATGGAGAGCCTGCTCTTCCCAGCAGTTAATCAGGAAGCCCTCACAGTGCCCACCTGGTTCACTAGCTAGGGTAGGGCTGCCAGTCAGAGCCCTGGACAGGCATGCAATTAGCCCAGGCTGAGTTGCCTGTTAGGTCCCCTGCCAGACCATGGATGTTGCAGAACTATGGAGTAAAAGCCAAAGTTAGGGTGGGCAAGCAGATTGTCATAGCAGGCTGGGGCAGGAACCCAAGGATCAAGCATTTTGCAGGAGCCTCTTCAAATGGCCATGGATTGCCTCACTGCTTCCTGCGCTTCTCCCTGACCTAAATAGAGTAGTGATTGGTCAGGTTTTGTTGGGATAGAGCCTGCTACACTTTGACAAGTACAACAAAGTTGTACAACAAAGGCAGCTGCAGCTGTGTGGCAGGTCTGGTAAAGCAGGTGCTTCAGGAAGAACCAATGGGTTTTGTTTTCTCTGTTTATCTCCACCATCTTCCTGACTGAAATATGCCAATCTGACCCAAGCCCTTTTCTGTCATCACAGTTGCATACAGATGGGTGAGAGGTGGGGTTCCTGGTAGAGAGCTCTTCATTGTGGTGTATGATCTAGTAGCACAATGTAGTGCGGACCTGACTTGAGTCTCCTCTCTGTGAGATATCTTAGTCGCCGTGTTTGTGCTTTTTGCCTGTTCTCAGACTGTAAGTAAAGGCTTGTCTAAGAGTTGACCCCAACTGGACCCAGCTCAGGGATTTTTATACAGGTAGATTTCCCATATTTGTTCCTAACCAGGGCTATCATCCAGTGAAGCCCAATTTCCACGCACAGGAGTCATTCCAGGCAATTCTGTAAAATTCAGCTCAGCAGTAATGATTTCATTGCCTGCAGGGCCAAACCCTGGGCTGCTTAGTGCCTTAACAAAGTGAGAGGGGCTTGATTGTCAAGAAAACCCTACTGTCCTGGGTGCATGTGGATTCTTGCTGCCATTTGGGAAGCATAAAGACCCTCCACACTCTTAGGAGAGAGATACCCCTAAGATTCCTTGGACAATTTGCAGTGTTAGCAGTAAAGAAGTGCCCACAGACCTAAACAAGATCCTGGCCCATGAGTCTGGATGATGCAGAGACCCAAAGTAAGAAAAAGACCCTGTCCCATGAAGATCTCCATCTGAGGAATAACATGGGAAAGGGAAAAGAGAAGGTGGGTGGCAGAGCTTGGAGAGAACCAGTAGAAAGATTACTCTGCAGGGTAGTGTACACAGGGTACACCTGTTTAGTTACTAGTGTCCCTGCATTGCTGGAGTTCCATGAAATGGGCAATAACTTCTGAGCACCCAAGGCTGTGCAAAGATGATGCTCTATTTCAGCAGGCATCAGGGTAAATAATGAATTCCCTTCCGCCAAAAAAACTGATCTGCAAACAGGAAATCATCTTTCATGCTAGTGTTTCTAGTGGGCTCACAATGGTATTGGGAGAAAATATAAAACCATTTCTTGTTAAATATCACAATAGGCTGAGCTGTAAGTAAAGATGTGAGGGGTAGATGCCATTTTAAAGCCCAGAGAGTCCAATGGTAATCTGGACACATTTTAATAACACAAATGTTAAGACAACCAAGTTTCATTGATATTGCTAGGAACACAGGCCATTGGTCATACAAGGTGGGGGGTAAGTCTGAAAGGTGGCAAGTCAGTAAGGGACCTATGGGTGATTGTGGAAACCAACTGCAGTAGAGCTCCCACCAGTGACTAAATGGGTAAACCTTATCCTTGGATACACAGAGGTAAATATCAAACCTATCACCTGGACAAGGGAGAAGAGATTGATGTCATATATCTTGATTTCAAAAAAGCCTTTGATCTGGTATCCCATGATCACGTCTTGGCAAAACTGGCTAACTGTGGCCGTGCCCCCACCACAATCCGCTGGCTGGGGAATTGGCTCTGCAGTAGGACCCAGAGGGTGGTGGTTGATGTAAGTCAATCGTTGTGGTGCCCTGTGACCAGTGGGGTCCTCCAAGGCTCTGTCCTAGGGTCTATACTATTTAACATTTTCATTAATGATGTAGACATTTGTGTCAGAAGCAGACTGGCCAAGTTTGCCGATGACACCAAACTCTGGTAAAGCATCCATACCTGAGGACAGGAGGGTGATCCAGGCAGACCTTGACAGGCTCAGGAAATGGGCGGATGAGAACCTGATGGTCTTTAACACCAAAAAATGCAAGGTTCTCCACCTTGGGAGGAAAAACCTGCAGCATGCTTATAGGCTTGGCAGTGCTACGCTGGCTAGCACTACAGATGAAAGGGACTTGGGGGTCATGACTGACCACAAGATGGATATGAGCCTGCAATGTGATGCTGCTGCTAGTAAAGTGAGCAAAATGCTGGGTGCATCCATAGAAGCTTCTCAAGCAAATCCCAGGACATCATTCTTCCATTGCACTCGGCCTTGGTGAGGCTGCAGCTGGAGTACTGCATCCAGTTTTGGGCTCCACCATTCAAAAAGGATGGGGAGGAGCTTGAGAGAGTGCAGAGGAGAGCCACGCGCATGATCAGAGGTCAGGAAAACAGACCTTATGATGACAGGCTGAGAGCTATGGGACTCTTTAGCCCAGATAAGTGGAGGCTCAGGGGGGACCTGGTGGTCACCTATAAGTTTATCAGGGGTGCTCACCAGTATCTGGGGGAATGTCTGTTCACCAGAGTGCCCAAGGGATGATAAGGTCAAATGGTCACAAACTCCTCTATGACCATTTCAGGCTGGACATAAGGAAGAACTTCTTTACTGTCCGAGCCCCCAAGGTTTGGAATAGACTGCTACTGGAGGTGGTTCAAGCACCTACTCTGAACACCTTCAAGAGACAATTGGATGTTTATCTTGCTGGGATCCTATGATCCATGCTGATTTCCTGCCTCTGGGGCAGGGGGCTGGACTCGATGATCTTCCAAGGTCCCCTCCAGCCCTAATGTCTGTGAATCTATGAATCTATGAAAAACACCACTAGGGAGGTGGTGACCCTTCAGTATGCAGCACCAGCACAATATGGGATCCTATGTTCACCCATGAATAAAGACTCTTGCCAAATTAAGACAGGGTACACAGAAGAGATATGGAAGTATTTAAGTCTGGGAAGTGAACAGTGAGAGATTAAAGGAGTTGGATTACTAAAGCCCAAAGGGAAGGTTAAGGGGTGACGCAGATGGTTGTCACTTAGAAGTTTACTTCCACCCGTGGTGAGCTTAGCAGGCCAGCTTGAGTGAAGCATGGGTGCTGAGATCCAAAGGAGTAGAAGTACAACAAAAAAATTGTGGAAAACTGCCCACTCTGAAGGAAAGCAGGAAGCTGGGAATAAAGAGCTCTCAAGGTGAATTGTTCAGCCAAAATCAGAAGAGAAACCCAGCCTTTCTGATCTATAGAGAAGAACAAGGAGCCTGAATCCTTTTCATTGTTACAATCCCATTTTCCCCAGGCCTTTCTTTCTGCTAGTCTTGATATTAAACAGTACTTTGGATTGAAAAGCAGTTTGAGCCACAACACTCAACAATTTTCACAGGTCTAACAGGGAAGAACTTCAGGCTGCTCAGCAGACTCAGAGCAGCAGAGGAACCCCAGCTTGTGCCAAGGCTGTGACACCTGGCCTATGACTGGAAGGATATTGGGAATCTACTCTGGGGTGAAGGTGCAAGGTCTTTTACATAAAAGGTACAGAGGAGATGAAATAGAAAGGGATGACATGTCACAACAGCCTTGAACAATAACACCGAGGTACATTTAAGCAGTTCTATACAGACTTTGTCTTTACAATTGTTGTGTTCAGTGCTCCCTACACATCCTTGTCCCTCAGGCTGTAGATCAAGGGTTTCAGCATAGGGTGAGAGCACCATAGAACACAACCATTACCTTGTCTTGGTCTGAAGAGAGCTGAGACCTCAGGTACATGAACATAGCCATTCCATAAAATACACTGACCATAGCCAGATGGGAGCTGCAGGTGAAGAAGGCTTTGTTTCTGCACTGGGCTGAGTGGATGCACAGCACAGTCAGATCAATTCATACATATATTCCCAAGATGAAGAAAAAGCTCACCACAAGGACCAAGAAGCTGGTGACAAGTGTGGCTGTCTGACTGGAGTGGGCATCAGAACAGACCAGTTTGAGAAGCGCTTGAGGGTTACATGTGAAATGGTTGATGACATTGCAGCAAAAGCACCTGTGTGGGCACATCGCTACTTGGATAAGGGTCAGCAGTAAGGCACTGGTCCAGGAAATACACTCCTTAGTGTCACAGACAAACTAAGAACAGTATCCAATGGCTGGAGGTTGATCTTCAAAGTAGAAGAAACACAGTTCCCTATCACTGGAGGAAAAGAGCACTGAAATGTATTCCCCAGACACCTCATGGATGCTCTGTGACTGAAATCCTCTAAATTGAACTAGGAAGTGACAGTAACTTTGCTTCTGCCTTGCACTAAGCAGACACAGCACAGCCAAGCTGATGAACATGTCATTGGGATAAAGATGAAGGGTGTTATAAGGACTGACTGGCCTGAGACCCAGGTATATATCCATATTTTTAGTTATGTAATAACCAGGTATATATCCATATTTTTAGTTTGATCCTGTAAAAGCATTGCTGGTAAAATTTGCTGATAAAATGGAACAATAATTGGTGAAGCTATAAATAAAGGTGAGAAAACAGTTTTAAAGATCACACAGAATCCAATGGTAAGTAGGGCATATTTAAATTATATTAATTTTAATAGAACCAAATTCATGTACAAATCTATAGGAACAGAAGTGGTGGTTTGGCAAGAAGGGGAAATAAATCCTGGAGAGGGGGAGCATTGGGAACCAGCCCTGCAGCGGGGAAGGTACTGTGGCTGTCATCTGAAAGGGATCACTGAGATGAACCAGAGTGCGGTGAAGTTACAAGTAGTTCTGACCCATGATGTTTAGATATGTTTAATTAGTTCTGTGCACACATTGCCTTTAATATTGTTCTCCTTAAGGCTCCCTTCACATCCTTGTTCCTCAGACTGTAAATTAGGGGATTCAGCATGGGTGTCAGAGCACCATAGAACACAGAAATCATTTTGTCTTGGTCTGCAGTAGATTTGGATTGTGGGCGCAAGTACATAAACATGGCTGTGCCATAGAATATACTGACCACAGCCAGGTGGGAGCCACAGGTAGAAAATGCTTTGCTTCTGCCCTGGGTTGAACGAATCCGCAGCACGGCCAAGCCAACGCGCAAATACGTGACCAGGATGAAGAGAAAGGGTCCTACAAGGACCAGTTGTCCTGAAACCCAGGTGGCAATTTCATTATTGTGAATATCAGAACAAACCAGTTTGAGGAGTGCTTGTAGTTCACAAACAAAATGATTAATGATGTGTCTACAAAACCGCTTTGGCTTCATCAGTGCTGGGACCAGAGTCAGCAGTAATGCGCTAGCCCAGGATACTGCTGCCAGCTGGATGCACACCTTCCTGTTTATGATCAGAGGGTAATGCAGTGGGTTGCAGATGGCCACAAAGCGGTCATAAGCCATGACAGCCAGCAGGAGACACTCAGTCATGCCTAGGTAAAGAGAAATATAGCCTTGGGTGAAGCATGTCTTGTAAGATACCGTGGGTTTCTCTACAAAGGAATATGCCAGAATCTGAGGGATTGAGCTGGTGGAATAGCAGATGTCGAGGAAGGAGAGGTTGCTGAGGAAGAAGTACATGGGGGTGTGGAGTTGGTGGTCAGCCATGATTAGCAGCACTATGAGGCCATTTCCTAGAAGGGTCACAATGTAGAAAATCAGCAGCAGACTGAAGAAGGGGACCTTTGCTTGGGGATGAAGGGAGAGTCCCAGCAGGATGAACTTACCCACCAGCATCTCGTTGTCCCCTGCCATGGTGCTACCTGGACTTAATTTCTGTGAACAGACATGATATAAATAAAGCAGATGAATGTTGTAATGACTGCTCAATAAATTTGATGTTTCATAAATGAAGAAATCTGGATTTATTGATGAGCAATGGTTGCATTTTATTCAAGAAAGGTAACAGAGGTCCTAGGGTTTGTTAGACCAGTAAAACTCTTTTCTGCTGTGTACCTCTCATGGCAGTTGTATGCAGTGTTTTGCATCAGCTGTTAAGAAGCATGAGGTGGGGTGAGGCGAGTGGTGGGATGTAAGACTCAATGACAATGGGAGTGCTGAGGAATCACACGTGCAACAGCCACTCTGGCAGCTTGGATCATTTGTGTAGAGCTGGCTAGCTCTAAGTGTTATGACAGTGGTTCTGCTCCAGATCCTCATGCAAACCCTGCCTGTCCCGTATTGAGAGCTACCAACATATGTTTCAGACAACACACCACTGTCTGTGTGCAGTGCAGCAGCTGAAGTTTAAAGAGGGTCACTAATGCAACTGTAATATAAAAATGTCCTTGTGCATTTTTGGGGGGATATACCTGTTTCATAAAGGCCCATTTGCCTTGATTGTTTAAAACAAAAGATTTTTTTTGGTATCCTGTCACTCGTTCAGGATATCTGAAGCAGAATTTTTACATACTAAAAATAGCAGTAACCTTTAGATTAATAACTATACACCCCATGAGAATGACACTAAAGATTTAACAAAAAAAGAAAACGTATAAAAGATCAACAATTTCTTTGACCTTCCTTTTTCTGGCTGGGTGGGAGAGATTTTCTCCTTTTCCAATAAATCATTAAAGAATTATAAACATTTCTACCACAGCCATATGAGTAGAGGCAAAGTCAGCTCTATGACAAGAGGCCACAATGAACTCTCAAGTGGGGCCAGAGCTGTGCAGCCACCTTATTGCAGTCAGTCTGGCAGTTGCATTGTATGTGGATTAACAGGGAGGTTTTAATGCAGACAGCAGAATAGCAGACCAGAACATATGCTCCCCAGCAATATTGGACAAATCAATATGTTCTGTGTGAGGCATTGTAAACTCTTAAGGTCTGTGAGCTCCTCAACTGAGTTTGTCAGCAGCAGGCTGGTAGCTATTCAAAGTATTATCAACACTGGGCAACAGATCACTTAGAAGGAGGAGAGCTGCAAATAGGGTCAGGTGTGACCCAGCTGCTCCTGTCCTTCTGTGACAGTAACTCTCTCCAATGAATTTCTTTGGCAGTGTGTCTGGAAGGTCAGGTGACATTCCCTGGCTGAAATCTATGCTTTCAGCTTTTGCCTCCAGAAAAACCTGAGCTTGATCCCAAATGGGAAAGTTAATGCAGTTTCAGGCAATTACCTTTGTGGTGTGATCTGGCACCTAGTTTATAATGACTCTCCCTCCCTGTTAAATTGTGACCTGCTGAATGGTACTAGACTGGAAAGGGAGACTCATGAAGTAGCACTGCATAGTCACCAGTCCTGACTTCCCTGCCTCCTTAGTGCAAGGGTCAGTACTCAGGGAAAATCCTAGTTATTACTATCTAAGAATTGTTTCGGGGTATTGTATATGTATTGTCCTCCTAGGAGAACTGACTGTCTTACACACACGTGACTAACCCATTGGTCAAAATAAATGGGGATTTATGCACATGTGGACTTATCATAGCATGTCCTTGTCAAATTCTGTGACTTATTGAGACCCCTTGGTGGTGAACATTAGGCCTGTGTGAAGCAGAAGGTATTCGCTTTGGATTCGGATTCAGCAATTTGGAGGGACAGTGATTCGATTCGGTGATTTGAATCACTGTCCCGATTCCATTCGGTTGAATCTGAAGATATTCAGCTCTGAATCTTATTCAGCCATAAACTATACAGGCAGGCAGTTCTGGCAGGATCATCTGGGGGAGCAGCCGGACAAGCCCCGGGTTGAGCTGGCAGCCCCGGGAGAAGTCGTGGCTTGTCCAGCTGTTCCCCTGGCTGCCCTCCTGCCAGGGCAAGGCAGGCAGTGCTGGCAGCCCTGGGAGAAGCAACGGGGGCTAGGAAGAATGATTGGGAGCAGGGGGATCAAATCAGGAGCTGGAGGGAAATGATTGGGGGCTAGGGAAATGAACAGGGACTTCCCCCCAGCTCCATATCCAATGCCACAGCTCCTGGTTTGATTTCCCCAGCTCCCGGTTTGATCCCCCAGCTCCTCAATCATTCTCTGCAGCTTCTCCTAGGGCTCCCAACTCAAGCCGTGGCTTGTCCAGTTGCTCCCCCAGCTGTTCCTGCCTGCACTGGCTAGTGTCTGCCTGTACAGTCTATGGCTGAATGTCTCCGAATCGATTTAGAGGCTTCCAATTTGATTCAGAGAGATTAACGGGTACCCCCATTCGATTTGGAGATTCAACCACTGAATCCGGCCTAATCTCCTCTGACTCGAATTGGCTACCGAAGCTTTGCACAGCCCTAATGAATACGGTATTTGAGACGGTTGCAAAAAGTGTCAATTTCTTTTCACTCAGGGTTTGAGAAAGTTGCTTTTATTTCTCATAAATTCAATTTGGGTGCAAGTAAAATTTCAATCCTGTTTCCACTTAGAGGGTCATAGAATCATAGAAAATTAGGATTCGAAGTGACCTCAGGAGGTCATCTAATCCAACTCGCTGGTCAAGCAGGTCAAAGCAGGGCCATCCCCAACTAGATCATCCCAGTCAAAGCTTTATCTAGCTGGGTCTTGAAAACTTCCAAGGATGGAGATTGCACCCTCTCTTTGGGTAACTTGTTCCAGTATTTACTACCCTCCTAGTGAGAAAATTCTTCCTAATATCTAAACTTCCCTTGCTGCAACCTGAGACTGTTGCTCCTTGTTCTGTCATCTGCTACCATGGAGAACAGTCCAGCTCCATCCTCTTTCGAACCCCACTTCAGGTAGTTGAAAGCTGCTATTAAATCCCACATCAGTCTTCTCTTCTCTAGACTAAATAAGCCCAGTTCCCTCAGCCTGTCCTCATAAGTCATGTGCCCCAGCCTCCTCACCATTTTTGTTGTCCTCCGCTGGATTCTCTCCTATTTGTCCAAATCCTTTCTGCAGTGGGGGGCCCAAAACTGAACACAGTACTCCAGATGCAGCCTCACCAGTGCTGAATAGAGGGGAATAATTGCTTCCCTGGACCTACTGGTAAGACACCTACCAATGCAAAAACAAGTAATGTTTTTACAATAAGAAATCATTAAATTAAAGAATTATTAACATCTCTACCACAGCAATGTGAGTGGAGGCAAAGTCAGCTCTGCAACCAGAGATCTCAATGCACTCTTGAGTGGGGCCGGAGTGTTGCAGCCAGGTAATTGCAGCCAGTCTGGCAGTTGCATTGTATGCAAATCAACAGGGAGGGTCAAATCACTACTTCCCCAAAATGTTTGATTAAAAATAAAACTGAAGCAGTTTGGAGCTAATGGGAAAAATGGTTCTGGTCAAAGCCGTGTACTCCCAATAGCATACTAGAATGGGGAAATGCCTACTATCTCACCCAGAGCAATAAACACTTGCCCTGAACATCCTCCCTTTGATCAAGTAATCACTTTGCCCAATTTTTAATGAAAGGCTCAGGATGCATGTTTTGAATGAGAACTGCTTTCTGCCCCTTCCTCCCCCTACCCAACTCTTACACTGCTCAGCTGATACTGAATCTTGGAGCCAACCAAGTATGCCAGAGCCCCTCCTCCCCACAAATGCCAGGCCACATACCACTCATTGCTAACATGCTCTTCTATCTCCAGCCACTGTGCAATGGACACAGACTGAATGCCTGACCAGTGCAGAAATCAGTGGTGCCTGCAGTACCATCCAAGAGAGCAGGGGGACCAGGAATGAAGCAAAGGCATATCCTGTGCAGAGCGCTGAGTGCAGAACTTCTAACTGCTGCATTAAACAAAAATGGAGATGGTCCATTATTTGACCCAGAGAGTGGATCAAAGCCAGCACAGTCACCTTGGTAGGAGATGGGAAATCTTTATAGAAGGAATCCCCCAAACAAACTCTATGGGTGAGAACTTGGAGAGTTGAGTGTTCTTTGCAATTAGCTTAATCCTCACAGAAGGAATCCACCATCTTTCCTACTGCACTCTGCAAGGGACCTGGCAGAACAGGTGTCTATGATGAGATTCTTTTGTGTGTCATGGCCTGACTCACTATTTCTGCAGAGTATGGAACTGGTTCAGCATGACACATAGGACTGGCTGCTAATTGGACCTGTGGGATTCAGGAACTGCAGAATCAACTAGGAGAACATGGGTATGACAAAGCCCATGAGCTTCTAGGAGACAGATCTAGGATCATTATGCGATATCCATTATCAGTGGAGTATAGATTCAGACACGTTCTCCAAGTGTGGAGTCAATGAGCCACTCAAAGGTAACACAGGGACAGCGTGCACACCAGATGTTTCTGAGTTTGACATTAGATTCTGAGACCTTGTAGTGTATCCCCAATTTGTTTAGCTCAGAAAAAGTAAACTTTTCTTTTCACATAACCAATATGTTTGCCCAGTAAACAATGCAGTAGAATTAGAAAAAGTATTAAAAAAGGGTAATCAAAATGATCAAGGGTATAGAGCATTTGCCATGCCAAGAGAGACTAAAAAGTTAAGACTTTTCAGTTTGGAAAGAAGAAGGCTAAGTGGGGGATAAGATAAAGGTCTATTAAAAAAAATCAGGAGGAGCATGGAGCAGTGACCATGATGCTGTTGTTCACCAAGGTCCATAATACTAGAACTAAGGGGCACCCACCGAAATTAGTGGGTAACAGGTTTAAAACTAACAAGAGAAAAAATATTTTCTAATACAACACATAGGGAATTTATGGAATTTGTTACCACAGGGGGTGGCAGAGACAGATAACACAGCCAGGTTTCAAAAACAGACTGGGTATATTTATGGATAGATCTATTTATAGCTATTGAACAAAATGGTTGGAGATGTTTCCTCTGGCATCTCTAACCCTATAATGTTG